CCATGCCGAGTAGCTTATTGTCTACTGGTTTTACCCAGTCTGCCCCCGAGTAATTTCGTGATAATGTTTCTTCTTGACGTGTTATAAAAAAATAATGATCTTTATTTCTACAAGTACATGATACATTGTATACAAGTCTAGCTGACATTAATGACGTACTATATAGAAAGCCCCTTGTTATACAGAGTATTTCGGGCAAATTAGGTTAATTTTACCCCCAGGATGTAGTCCACACCACATAGGTATATATTTACTTCTAGGTGAACAGGGACAGCAGGTGTCTTAAGGAAACACCCCCAAATGTTTCGAACCACGGACCTCAGTGTGTGAGTTGAGTGCGCTACCAACCGAGCTATGGGACACCACGGAAAAATGGGGTTAAAAAAAGTTAAAAATAATCAACTAAAAATCCACAACCTTTGGGGATAAATACTCGTAAGGTGTTTGTACTCGCTAAGTATATATATGCATGTATTTTTATTTGGTCTGTTATTAAATCCAGGATCCGTGAATGGGTTGGCCCTTTTTCTGAGAGTAGACAACTTTACCTTGATGGGGACATTAAATTAAATAGTGCCACCTTGAAAGGAAACTTCATTCGTTTAAGTTTTTACAAATCAGAATTCAGTTACATCACAAAGTGCCGTTTTTTTTTTTTTTGGAAAACTGTTAGGTAGTCAGAGGCCGTGCACGTGGAAATTCAGATGCTGGCGAGTCTCCTTATATTTTGCTGGTAGGAGGGAAGGTGGTGTGTTGTTGGCGGCGGCATCATTGTAAACTGCTCATTGAACAGTGTTGGGGTTCCAATCCATGGCAAGCCAGCCCTGAAACAAACAGGCCAGAAGGCTTGCAATGAGTTCAAGCTCTACGTCGTGTGTGGGTGTGCGTGTATCATGTTAGCAGGGTGGCCGGCCTCACAGTGCTAGGCAGCAGAATTTATGGTTGTGTTCGGTCTTGGTAACCCTCCGCTGAAGAATCCAGTAGCCCAGCCTCAGTCATTGAATTTGATTAGTAGGCTATAGAAACGGATACATACGTGTGGTGAAACTGCTTTGCCACTTATATCTACAAAACTGGTTGTAGCTGCATTGTGTAGGAACAACAGTAGATATCTTCAGTGAAACTAAGTAATTACCTGCAAGAGATACCTCATCAACCAGGTTGTGATAAGTAGGTGGGCCTGATGGCAGCATAAGCCTGTTTAATCTGGCCGGGCAGCAAGAGTATGCATTCAAAAAAGCAGTGACACTTATATTCCATGCTCATTGTGATCATTTCGAGAACTGACCCTCTTTCGTTATTAATGAGGATGATCCTGGGGTCATTGCTGCTTAACTCATCCTTTGATATTTGTCTATGAAGTCAAAATTTTCTTATTGAGATGTTCACATTCTGCATTAATGATCATGAGAGAATAAAAAGTGATAGAAAAAATAGGGTGGCAGATTCACAGGAGAATACCATGAACATCAAACGGCATAGATAGGCTAATTTGGTGGTCGGAAAATTGGCAGATGAAGTTCGGTGTGGAAAAGTGCGGAAAAAAATAGTTTTAGCACTTGTAGCTAATACAGAACTTAATCATAAATAATGTGAAACTCTGAAATCTGAAATTAGTATAGCAGTGGCTAAACGTCCGTAAAAATAGCTAAAAAAATGTATATCGGGAAATATGAGCTCGACACTTAAGGCCTTAATTTAGATTATGCAGCTCACTTTTGGTCGCCATACTACAGAGTAGATATAAACACATTTGATGAGTAGCCAAGTCTGTTTCCTGTGTAGGTAATGGTACGGGATACCGACACGATAGACAATTATATGCAGCTTTAATGAATTATCCCCACACGGTAGGCTTTTGTAACTGTGACTTGATAAAGCCCGATGTGTGAGCGAAACGTCAAAGGATTTCGTATAACTATTTTTGTCCGCCATCAATTTCCTGTATATGCAATTAGTCTGTTTTTTTTCCATGCATTGCTGCGATAATAAATCTTAGTGTTAGCCTCGTATCTCCCCTGATCCTTTTGCTTTCGCAGATTGTGGAATGCTTGTCTTTCATCCTGTTCATTTTTTTAGTGATTTGTCACTCATTCATTAGGGATTTGCCGGTACTTCCGGCCCGGGTCTTCTCCAGATGGTGACCCGGCGGTGGCCCCCGGGTTGGGGGTGTCGTTCATCTTCTTTCTTCTGTCTTCTTTCTTGGGCCCTCCGGGTGGAGGGTAACTGTGATTGGTATATATCTTTTCTCACCGAGTCGACTGGAAGAAATTCCGCATATTATTTATTCATATTATTTCTCCCAGGCTGCTGTAAAATGTGATTAATTCGAGACGCGGCTTGAAAATGGTCTGAAACGAACCGAAAAGTCGTCCAGGTTGTATTTTCATTTCATGGGTTATGAATTGTTTCAGCCGTGGTATAGTGACTATTATTCTTCATAGTTACTTCTGTATGTGTGAGGCCTTGTTGAGTGTAGTTCTGTGTTGGGTATAGATGATGTGCAAGTTTATTTAGGCACAGGTACACATAAGTGCAGTTAAAAATAAAATAAAATAAAATATTTCTTTGCTAAGGTTACAGTGTGTGTTTACATATAATATAATTGGAGCAAAGAAAACCACTATTATACCGAGGCATTTAGGGCAGACTTAACCTAATACTTATAGACTACTATAGTTTAGACAGGTGAAGAGTGGTAATACAGATAGTCAGTATTTCACTGTTATTAATATAAGGTAGTACAATTTATGATACAATCTTACATTTTTATACATAGTGTAAATTATCTAGGATAACCCCCCAAAATAGTCAGACAGGATAAGATAAGATTTCGTTCGGATTTTTAACCCCGGAGGGTTAGCCACCCAGGATAACTCAAGAAAGTCAGTGCGTCATCGAGGACTGTCTAACTTATTTCCATTGGGGTCCTCAATCTTGTCTCCCAGAATGCGACCCACACCAGTCGACTAACACCCAGGTACCTATTTGCTGCTAGGTGAACAGGACAACAGGTGTAAGGAAACGTGTCGAAATGTTTCCACCCGCCGGGAATCGAACCCGGGCCCTCCGTGTGTGAAGCGGGAGCTTTAGCTACCAGGCCACTGGGCCAAAGCGACTTACTTCCATTGGGGCTGGTGATTGTGTGTTGTGTTGAGCGTTGCCTGTGGTGCTGTGACGGAGTTCAGAGATTGTCAAGGGGACATGTGAGTGGCGCAAGGTAGAGTACCTTGTCATGGAAAAACCTCTCTTCTTCGTGCTCAGCAACGCTGGAGTGAGCCCTCAAGTGGGAGATCCTCTGGCCGATCACCTTAAGTATCCGTTAAGTCTTTTGAGATCACCGTAAGAGTCACTTAACTGTGTTGAGCTGTTGGACAAAGGACTCGACGAGCGTGTGGGGTGGGGAGAGGTACTACAGGGTAGTCAGAGTATTTGCCATGTGATATCCTCTCTTCCCACCCTCCCTCCTCCGCCTGCCCTCATCTGTGACACGATATCCTTCCCCTCTCGGTTGTTTCCCTCTCTATGTTCTTGACACTGGGTGGAGAGGGAGGAGTGGTGCTGCTGCCAGAGGTCGCCATCAGTACAATACAATTTATTTCAGAATCACTGCACACACCAAACAATATAATCTGAAGGCCCATAGGATGCACAGCATTTCTGGCCATAAGGTGTGTCCTGGAGACCAAGGTAACTGACGGGTCCTGAAGAAGAGAAAGACGACGACGTCTTCATTAGCATCATTAACCCCGGAAGGTAAATGTAATTACCCCATGCAGTGTGATCCTTAGGTGTGTAGACACCGAGATGTATGCATCTCTTTACTGTGCATACACCGAGAGCAGTAGGACGTGAGCCAGAACAATCTACCTAGCCATCTATTTGCTGCTAGGAACACAACAAGTGTCCAGGGCCCAAGACTGTTCAACTGCCTCCCAGCATACATAAGAGGGTTTACCAATAGACCCCTGACTGTCTTCAAGAAGGCACTGGACAGGCACCTAAAGTCAGTACCTAACCAACCGGACTGTGGTTCGTACGTCAGTTTGCGTGCGGCCAGCAGTAACAGCCTGGTTGATCAGACCTTGATACACCACGAGGCCTGGTCTCAGACCGAGCCGCGAGGGTGTTGACCCATGAAACCCTCTCCAAGTAAACTCCAGCTAGATGAGCATAGGCAGCAGGTGTTAGCAGACTTGCAAACACGTTTCACCTCAACCAGAATTGAATCATAGTCGTACAGGTTTTGAGCCGAACGCTCTGCCACTGAGTTAGGAGGTAAACTATTGGATCCTGGAGACGGTACTGTTACTGTCTGCCTCTGAATATTGAGAAAACTATCTTGTGATTAAGTATTTATCAAATCTGCAATAATCACCGATGGATGACTGTATCTCCTGATGATGGTGCTGGAGCAACGCTTACTATAGCTAGGAAAAAAGTTTGTCAGACATCTTGACATATCTGCAGTTCAGGATTGGGCGTGAATTGAAACCGAATTAGTTAACCTTTAAATTAGCAGCTGGGGGCTGAGAAATGCGAGGTGCAGGAGAGGACAGACAGTGGTGGTGGTGATGGCGGGATGTAGTTCATCTGGGTACTGGGTCCTCCCGCCACTCTGGTGTCACCACCCACACACTACTCCGCTCATCCCACCCCTTTGTCCAGTTTTATTAATGGAACTCCGTGGCAAATTAATCTGGGTTGATGACGGTGGGGATGGGATATTTTGGTGAAGAGTAGCACAAGGGGGCTGGATGAGTGTGAGGAAACACCCCAGTGAGAAGTGCAGTGCTCTGGACTGTGACGTCACTGCAGGGACACACACACACCACTCTACTAATGTCATGCTTGACTTCTGGGTATCCCTCCCTTGGTCCCCTTAGCACATGCTGAGAAACACTATGTTGGTGCTAGTGTAAATGTCGGTTGCGTGAGTGTAATGCGCTGAGAAGGCGGTGGGATAAGGTAGTAGTAGCCAGTAAAACAGACATCTCCCATGGTGTCTCAGGCTGGGGCTGGCTAGGAGGCAGCACGGGACGCACACAACCAGTCTGCTCTCAGTGTGTTACTAGCTCTTGTGGTACTTGGATGTTTGCGCGCGAGCTTGTCTCTCAATCCTCACTGCCTCGGGTAATCGGCAGTGGCAGTGATGTGGGTATCCGTGATGGATCACCAGGTTTCATCGGTTCCATAAGCTAGGAAACATGTGTTGTGTAGGTATAGAGTAACAAAACTAGCGTGAAATAACCCAGATACCTCTGATATGAATTTGCTAGCTTGATTTGATGTGAGAGTCTGGGACAAGTATGTGTATTGAAAACATTTCCCAATGCGATTATTAACTAGACACTAAGGCTGTAACTAGGTGTTTGATATGTTCACGTATCTGATGTCATCAGTGCTACACCCCATGTTTACCATCATTTGTGAACTTGTCACTTAATGCCACAAAGTTTGATTCACGTTATTAATGTCTTGTGAAAGAATGATAAATATTGGGGTGTAGGGATGTCAACTCCCTCGCTATTTCAATTGTTTGGCTGCTCAAGATTTTAGCTATTACTAAATACAGTTCTCGATATGTGATATTGTGTGAAGAGAGGACAAAAAACCGTGATATATTAGTCCTTGAGAAAGGTTACCACTTTTCTCCCGGGGTGAAGAAGTACCATAACTTGAGACAGACCACTCGGCCAAGAAGTTGTGCAGCTACACATTATTATCAGTGGCACACATGCTTTCATTGCAAACCCCGACCTTGTTATTGCCATGTCAGGTAATGCAGGGTTTTGGATCAAGGTGCAACAGACAAAAAAATGGAGGTAATTTTTTTAAAGGCCATAACTTTTAAGGCTTATATTGTAGCGCTGAATGACAGAAGTGTAACTCCTTACGTGAATGTAATAATAAATAATAGCGTTTTTGCTTCTTTTTTTTTTTTGGTAAGTGTTAAGAGGTGAGTGGCGAGGACAGACTTCATACTGACGAGGAAATATATTTGCTGTTGCATATGTTAGACGCAAACATATTTTTGTTTAATGTGTGGACCTATTAAACATGAAGATAAACAGCTGTGACACAAGTCTACGTAAGCCCTTCCAGACTTATGGTTGTACCAGGTTTAATAAGTTGGAGGTTATGTGTGTACTTAAGTTACATTGTGCGAAGAAGGCAAAAGGGAAGGCTGTCATGCCAGTTAATGGAGCTGGGAGGTAAGGCTGTCCTGTTGCTTATTAATGTAGGGTAGAAGGCTTTCTTGCTAATGTACCATAAGTGGGAGGGAAGGCTGTCATGTTAATGGGGGTGGGAGGGAAGGCTATCATGTTAACGGGGGAGTGGGAGGGAAGGCTGTCATATTTATGGGTGGGAGGGAAGGCTGTCATGTTAGTAGGGGTGGGAGGGAAGGCTGCCATGTAAATAGGGGTGGGAGGGAAGGCTGTCATGTTAATGGAGATTGGAGGGAAAGCTGTCATGTTGGTGGAGGCTGGAGGGAAAGCTATCGTGTTTATGGTAAGGATACCTATCATAAATTGTAAGGATAACTATCATATTTATGGTAGGATGAACGTTATATTTATGGCATTGATAACTGTCATGTTTATGGTAAAGGTACTTGTTATGTTTATGGTAGGCATACCTATGATGTGTGTGGTAAGAATACCTGTCATGATGAATGGTTTGAAAAACCGACAAGTTGAAGATTGAGACACTTATGCAGCATATGGGAATCTTTATTCAGGAAACGTTTCGCCACACAGTGGCTTCATCAGTCCAATACAAAGAGGAAGGCGTAAGGAGAGGAGGAGTATGAGGTAATCAGTCCCTCAGCCTGGAGTCGAGGTGTTCTACAAGACTGATGGACTGAACACATCGACTCCAGGCTGAGGGACTGATTACCTCATACTCCTCCTCTCCTTACGCCTTCCTCTTTGTATTGGACTGATGAAGCCACTGTGTGGCGAAACGTTTCCTGAATAAAGATTCCCATATGCTGCATAAGTGTCTCAATCTTCAATACCTGTCATGTTTATAGCGAGGATACCTGTGATGTTTCTAGACAGGGGAGAGGGAAGGTAGTATCAGTGTTAACATGTTTTAAGCCAAGAAAGTCAAGCAGTGATACATAACAATAATAACAGTATCATATTTTGGTAAAGAATGAAAATGTCTCTAGGTTTTTGTGCGAATGATGTTAATGGTAGAATGTATGCAACCCGAGGAATGTTAATAAGTAATCCCAGAATTTGGAAAGTTTTAAAATGCATCCTACCCTGGGTTATGGTGCAATGGATGGTTTCAGTCGGTTCATCCGGACTTCGCATAATCGAGTGATAAAAGTGACATGCTGGTTCAGAGACGTGCAAAAACTGGCCTTAACTGAGACAACGTTTCGCTCTCTGTAGCGCTTATGATCATCAACAGCTGGTTGACCAGGAAAACACTAGAAAGCTTCGCCACAGGCCATGCTGCTGGAGTAGGAAGACTCGTAACTAGTCGCAGGTAGTTAATTTCTATTTATAAGGTCCTTCAGGTAGTTAATTTCTATTTATAAGGTCCTTAACTTCTCCCCTAAGATTCGACCCACAACAGCAGACAATAGAAATAAATGGTATAAAATACCGACACAATGGAAATATAAACACATGCAGTATAATGTGATCCTTTATTGATAACGTTTCGGTCACACAGTGGACTTTATCAAGTCACAAACAGATCTACCTGGGTAGAAGGTACGTGAGTATAGGATGAAGTCAGGTTGGGTATGCTAGGTCAGGTGGAGAATGCCGCATGTGACGGTCTACCAAGTAGGGCTGTAGAGTCTGATACCTTGGGTAGCTTGGACAAAAGAGATTGGATAAGTATATGAGTAGATCTTCTGCAGTGTTCCTCCATTCTTATGTTCGATAGCGATGAAGAAGTTTCTTGGCAAGTGGTTCAGCTATGTTATAGAAGCCGTTGTTCTACCTGGAGTCTTACCTGGATGGCATTCCGGGGATCAACGCCCCCGCGGCCCGGTCCACGACCAGGCCTGGTGGATCAGGGCCTGATCAACGAGGCTGTTACTGCTGGCCGCACGCAATCCAACGTACGAACCACAACCCGGCTGATCCGGCACCGTCTTTAGGTATCTGTCCATCTCCCTCTTGAAGACAACCAGGGGTCTTCCCGAAATGCCCCTTATTGCTGGTGGGAGGTTGTTGAACAGTTTTGGGCCCCGGACACTTACTGCGTTTTCTCTTAGTGTACCAGTGACGCCCCTACTTTTCACTGGGGGTATGTTGCATCGCCTGCTAAGTCTTTTGCTTTCGTTTGGAGTGATTGCTGTGCGCATATTAGGGACCAGTCCCTCCAGAATCTTCCAGGAAATAAGTCACTCTGACTTTTTTGGGTTATCCTAGGTTCTCTACACATATGCTGCTATGTATGATAATTCTATGTAACTGTATTTGTGTATACCTGAATAAACTTACTTAATGTCTCGCCTGCGCTCTAGTGAGTACAAGTCAAGTGCTTCCAGGCGCTCCCAGTAGTTAAGGTGTTTGATGGAACTGGTTGAAGTTGTTGGATATTGAAATAAGTGATGATTCTAGGATTCTTAGGTATCGAGTGTTGCCTTCTCTGGCGATACGTCTTGCATTGCTGTAGTTGATTAAATGGTTGTGTGAATTTCAGTGTTGAACACAGGCATTCCTTGAATAGTCAGATCTGCCTGCGTACTGATGTTCTGAAATACGTGTTTGGAGGTCTCTTGATGTTTTGCCCACGTATAATTTGCTGCAGTCATTACAAGGGATTTTGTATACCCCTGCAGAGGATGGAAGCTTGTCCTGTCTATTACTGGTAATGTCCTTGATGGTCGTGGTTGTGGAGGTAGATACTTGGAATGAGGTATTAGAAAAAAATGTTGGAAACGTGTTTGACAATGGAGTTGGTGGGGAGGACTATGTATCTCTTCTCGTCAGTGTCTTTTCTGGGTGTGTTGAAGATGTTTAATGCCCGTCATCTGCAGTCTCTGATGAAGTGACAAGGATACTGAAGGAATGCCTGTGTTCAACACCGAAATTCACACAACCATTTAATCAACTTCGAGTGAATTAACAAATTTTTGGCTCATCAGACTAACGGCAATGAAGTGATAAATCGCCAATACCTACGAAGAGTTACCTGTCATCTTGATACAGTAGGGTTAATTAAGGCTTACAACAGGATCATATATATGATGGGTGCCATCAAAATGGGGGCGTTGGAAGATGTTAGTGACTGTCGCCACAGATGTTTTACATATACCTTTGATACACATTTGAAGAGCTTCGAGAGTTTGACTACTCTCGGGAGCCCGGCCATGGGCCAGGCTCGTCTGGTGCTTGCCTGATCAACCAGGCTGTTGCTGCTGGAGGCCCATTGCCCCACATATCCACAGCCTGGTTGATCTGGCACCTGGTGAAGATACTTGTCCAGTTTCCTCTTGAAGGCTTTTACACTTGTCCCAGCAGTGTTTCTGATATCTTCTGGTAAGAAGTTGAATAGTCTGGGACCCCGGATGTTGATACATTGTTCCCATATTGTCTCCACGGCAGTGTGCAGATTTGGGACCAGGCCCTCGAGTATTTTCCAGGTATATATTATGTATCCTCCGCTCCTATGAGTACATGTTCAAGACTTGAAGGCGCTCCTCCCGCCTGTTTGAAACTTAAGTATACACAAAAGGTTTGGGTAGTATTGGGAGCAGAAAAAAATGTTCCGCTTTCTTGTTGTCCAGGATATAGTTGCAACCTCTGAGCTTGATGAAGTCCCATTGCACGCACATCAACCACAGCTTCTTAGTATTCTCCTTCAGTAACACTCCTCAGAGGACACAGCCTGGAAATTATGGGAAGTATTTGTTGTGCATTTCGTCTACAGACTTTCCTGTTGTAAAACTTCGCAAAAATAGCCTTGGTAAAGTTTAAGAGTGACTCAGGATATGTACCACCTACTTGTTGAACCATACAGTACTAGTATGGGCTCCACACTTCAAACACTTTAAGCTCGACAGGATCCGGATATTTACTATTGTACCAGGCTGGGGAAGGGTAACTTTACAAAATCACAATTTAAATCTGAAAATTTTCATGGAGTTATAAGATCAGTGCAGTATGGGCGCATATTTTAATATAAAGGCATCACAGTAATCCATTAGTGGTTAAAAGGGACAGGAGCTGGAGCCCCGTGGAGTTGGATCATCTCCAGCGCAAATACATAAGTACGTAACATTACGTATCCTCGTGGGCGGTTATTCGATATAAATTGTGGGAGTGAGGGCACAAGGACAACAACAATCATGGGATAATTCTTGTTCTTGGTGTGACTCATGTGAACGGACACCCCCCAAGGACAGGCAGTACCACCAGCCCACAGATGGGAAGGAAGGTGAAGCTCAGAATGTGTGTGTCGTGCCGAATAGGTAAAACTGGTTAATTAGCAAGAACTCATAACTCTAAAATTCTCTCTTATACGTTTAAAGATATATTTTTTTTTGGTTTATGTTAATGCGGAAATTAATAATTTTTCACCAAAAGAACCTTAGAAAACTTACCTAACCTTATGATAACAAGCTCAATTTAATTTAGCCTAATCCAACTAAATATGTTTTAGATAAGTTTACAGTAATTTAATAAACAAACACAATGAAATATGTTTTTTTTCGTTAGGTTCAGGAAGATTTTTGCGAAATTAATGCATACACAAATTTTCACTTGCCTTGTTTGGCAAGAAGAGTGTTGCTATTTAAGCCAAAATTGCGAGTTTAACCTATTCGGCACGACTAATATATATATATATATATATATATATATATATATATATATATATATATATTATATATATATATATATATAGTGTGCGTGTGTGCAAGACAAGCCACGGGGGGTGGAAAACTTTAGCTGAAGTACTTTCACACTTCCCAGTGCATCATCAGGAGCTATGCAGTGTTGCAAGGCAGCAACAGAAAGAGAGGAAGTTTTCTCAGAGTAGCGCAGTGCGGGTGTGTCACCGGCTGTAGCCCCTCTCAGGCTGCCCAGCTTATGTGGCATTTGTGGCTGAGTGGATAAGAGCGCTGCCTGGGAATCTTGACCGTCTCGGTAGCAATATCGAGTCCTGCTGACTGCGATCTTTCTCTGTATATACCCGCTTGTTTCTGCCTAGTGCATCATATATAATGTTAACGTTTCAGTTTTATAAACTGTAAAGCACCCCTCTGGCAAGACAGTGATGGAGTGAATGATGAAAGTTTTTTCTTTTTCGGGCCACCCTGTCTTGGTGGGAATAGGCCGATGTGTTTATATATATATATATATATATATATATATATATATATATATATATATATATATATATATATATATAATGTAGAGAGAGAGAATGAATAATTGCAGTCACCAGGATTCGAAGTCACATTAGGAAGAGTGGCAAGGTTCCCAAGTGAAGCTCTACACCACTCGGCCACAGATGCCACTAAAGCTGGGCGGCCTTGTTTACAAGCCATATTTCTCCCAGCCCGGGCACACCAGTGGGCCTCAAACATGGTTTCAAGCTGTTTCATTCTCCACTATTCAGTGATTTTTTTTATAAATTCGATTAAAAAAATACCTTCAAAATTAAATAGCGTTTGGAAAGGCCTTCACAGCACATGCTAATCAGTTTTAGATGCCCTTTTTTAAATTACATTCACAAAAATAACGTCAGAGCTTTATAAGAGTGCTTACCGTAACGACAGCACGCGTAGAACATAGCCGTATTTTTATATTGTGTATGCTGAATTACTTGGCAGTGTGATGTTTCCAGACTGGTCGTTTCCGGTACCTGCGTTGAGTGTTGCTGCTTGCCCCACTCCCTGCTTTTTATCTTAGACCTCAAACAAAGTTTTCCAGTGGGCAACGGTAAACAATATGATGTTCAATGAGGACAAATTCCAACTACTCCGTTATGGAGAACTGGAGGAGATAATAACTAGAACAGAGTATACTACTGACTCCGGCCATACAATAGAGCGGAAAAATAATGTAAGGGACCTGGGAGTAGTAATGTCTGAGGATCTCACCTTCAAGGATCACAACAGTGCCACGATCGCACGTGCAAAGAAAATGATAGGATGGATAATGAGAACTTTCAAAACGAGAGATGCCAAGCCCATGATGATCCTTTTCAAATCACTTGTTCTCTCTAGGCTGGAATACTGCTGTACATTAACATCTCCATTCAAAGCAGGTGAAATCGCAGATCTAGAGAGTGTACAGAGATCCTTTACTGCACGTATAAGTTCTGTCAAGCACCTTAACTACTGGGAACGCTTGGAAGCACTTGACTTGTACTCGTTGGAACGCAGGAGGGAGAGATATATCATAATCTACACTTGGAAAATCTTGGAAGGAATGGTCCCAAATCTGCACACAGAAATCACTCCCTACGAAAGTAAAAGACTGGGCAGGCGATGCAAAATGCCCCCAATAAAAAGTAGGGGCGCCATTGGTACACTAAGAGAAAACACCATAAGTGTCCGGGGCCCAAAACTGTTCAACAGCCTCCCATCAAGCATTAGGGGAATTGCCAATAAACCCCTGGCTGCCTTCAAGAGAGAGCTGGACAGATACCTAAAGTCAGTGCCGGATCAGCCGGGCTGTGGCTCGTACGTTGGACTGCGTGCGGCCAGCAGTAACAGCCTAGTTGATCAGGCCCTGATCCATCGGGAGGCCTGGTCATGGACCGGGCCGCGGGGGCGTTGATCCCCGGAATAACCTCCAGGTAACCAGGCTCCAGGTAACCTCTTGTAGTCTTCAAGATCCATATGGCACACTGCTGACTTTGTTGAAGAAGAGACACATTGTAAAAAATAAAGCTTTAATTAGGGCAATGTTTGGGTCTGCCATGGCTGCATCAAGTTCAAGGTACTTGATAAAGCGATAGCAGAGTAAAATACTGTGGTAATAAAAACTTGTTGTGCAACACGTCTTTTCTTCAACACTGAACTACTTATTACGCCAGACGCATCACTAACACCAGAGGTTAGGTGTCAACATGCAGGGATTACTGCAATATCTTTCGACACTTGTTATACTACCAGTATACTCCGCAAGGGAGGCTCAGTGATGCTGGTGAGGGGCTCTTGATAAAAGGAATTTGACCTTCCCTTGGATCGAACCTCATTGTCTCATTCCCACACGTTGTATGACCCCCGTGGGTTTAGCGCTTTTGAGTATAATACTGATATAGGTTGTGTGTGTGTTTATAGTAAGCTTAACTGACCTCGCTGGAAGTCCCACCTTTGACAGACTCAGTTTTTTTTAACAGAAAATAACTTATTGCATCAACTCTGAAGATTTTAATTCTGGACTGCGCCTCATCCCTACTAACCCTTGCGCAATCTTGCCCCTCACTTCCTCCTCTCCTTCGCTCATCCCTCCCTGCATTTCTCTCTGATCCTTTCAGTTTCCCACTTCTCAAAACATCCGAGACAAACTATGCGAGTAGGACAGTGGTTGTAAAATAAGAGCATGAATGCAGCTATTATTTAGGCTTGTGCTGAGAGGTAGGTTAGTATGGTGGGGGTCGGGGAGGCAGGCGCCTTCAGGGGCCACAGAAAAGATGGCTGCGGCTATTTAAATATAAAACACTCCATGAATATGCAAAGAGATTCCTGAAAAGTAAAAATTGGTACACATTTGTTTTCCATGTTTGCCATCCATTTTTATATGCACGAATTACGCTCTGGGTAAATTGATCCAAACATTCAAGAATACTCCAGTTTTTCTCTTTAATTGCAATGAAAATATATTTTTGTATGACAGTTTACACTGAATTAGTTTGTGTTAACTGTGATTGTTTGCAAGAGTTATTCAACTCTTACAGCCCAGAATGATGTCAGGTTTCCCTGGTGACTGCATGACCAATCTTGTTGCTGCTTGCAGCTCGTCTGCATAATCATCACAACTTGGCTGACCCAGTGATTACATATTTTAAGCTTAGGGGATGAGATGTAATTCTTGCATCCGCTGTGTTAACCATCATAAATTAGTTTTCATCTTATTAGTTTATGTAAACATCTCATTCTATTTCCTCACTTTCCGTTTGTCGACGAACTATTTCTTGACGTCTGATAACTGGGGTTGACGAGTTTCACCCTGTGACCTCACGTGACATCAGAGGGCGAGCGTGATGCTGCAGGTCACCAGTGCGTCGGTGATGCTGCAGGTCACCAGTGTGTCGGTGATGCTGCAGGTCACCAGTGTGTCGGTGATGCTGCAGGTCACCAGTGTTAGTGATGATACAGGTCTCCAGTGTGTCTGTGATGCTGCAGGTCACCAGTGTCGGTGATGCTGTGTTTACCTCGCCTGTGTCACACCAAAAAAGTGTAGATTTGAGGCATAACACTCTTCATTGGTCATAGTACATTCATGGGGGATTGCTTAACCCGTAGGAGTTGTATGGCATCTGAGATAATGAGAGTCATTTGGGTTCACTGCAAGGAGAGGGAGCACAAGTTTCAGTTCCTTGGATCATGACTCCTTCACCAGCATCAAGGCACCTCACCTGAGGGGGAAATATTTAAAACCCTGGTGGGTTTAGCCATTAGTTTTGATTAACACTGATTTAATGCTTAGGTAAGAATTCAGAAGCATTGATACATTAATTTTTATTTTGTGGTGTTCACATTGTGTCCTCCGTCCACACTCGTGAACATCTTTTTACAAACTGAACTGCCCTATATACAGTACTTGTTATATTTAGGGAAAGGCACTAACCCCACATATGGTGGGTTTAACGCTTGTATGGTGCTATGGACACATTTGATAAGATACTGTACTCTTAATGTACCGTCTGGTAAGTTCCTAGGACGAAATGTACTCAATAAGTGCAAGAGTAAGTATGTGTAAGTGCTCGGACTGACTTGGCTTAGAATATGACTGACAGCAACAAATCCCTAGATAAGCTTACTTCTGTACCATCAAGGCAGTCAAAAAACAGCTTGTTTGAACAATATGACGACCCCTTCACCAAACAGCAGTAATGCTCTAAGCAGTAGTGAACAGCACAGCATCAGGCAAGGAATCAAGGAGAACAAAACGACTTCAACTGTAGACTTTCAGCTGCATGACACTTGTTGGTTTAGCGCTTTCTTTGATTATAATGTGGACCTTCAGCAGATACACTGACATAAAACTATCATATTACTGAAACCGAGGTCATCAGTTCCAATTTCCCGACTACGATAGTGCGTGGGTGCCAAAACAATGTAGGTGAAGGGTTGAACTCGGGACCAGAGATATACCTGGAGTCTACCCGGAGGATATTCCGGGGATCAGCGCCCCCGCGGCCCGGTGTGCATCTCCACAACTCGACATCTGAAAACGTCAAATATCACTAAGTGTAAATAATGCTCTGTGAAGAGTTGTACAGAGATAGGAGATATATGCCTTGGCTTAACAAAGGAGACATACTGTACCCCAAAACAGTCTGAGGAGAACAGTATTATAGACAAAGCAGAGTCATATGAAGGTGTTACCACCACCAAGAACAGAGAGAGAGAGAGAGAGAGGGAGAGGGAGGAGGAGGA